TGTCTTCTCCAGCACCATAGTTCAAAAGAATGTATTCTTCGGCACTCGGCCTTCCTTATAGTCCAACTCTCGCAGCCATACATGACTACTGGGAATACCATTGCTCTGACCATGTGGACTTTTGTTGGCAGGGTGATGTCCCTGCTTTTCATCATGCTGTTTAGGTTCGCCATCGCTTTCCTCCCAAGGAGCAGGCGTTTTTTAATTTCATGGCTGCTGTCACAGTCTGCGGTGATCTGGGATCCCAGGAACGTGAAGTCTGTCACTACTTCCACGACTTCCCCTTCTGTTTGCCAAGGAGTGATGGGGCCGGATGCCATGATCTTAGTTTTTTTGATGATGAGCTTCAAGCCCACTTTTGCGCTCTCCTCTTTTACTCTGAGCAAGAGGCTCTTTAGATCCTCTTCACTTTCAGCCATTAGAGTGGTATCATCTGCATATCTGAGGTTGGCCTCTGCCTCTGCCTCCGCGGCGGCTCCTCCTCCTGCCGCTCTTTCGGGGCGGGCGGGCGGCGCATTTGCATGCGACTCAGACGGGCCCGGGAGCGCGTTTTTGCGCGCCGCCCCAAAGGGCCCGAGGAGAGGGAGGAGGAGAGGGAGGAGGAGGAGCCGGCGGGGGCGCCGCGGCGGCAGGCGCAGGAGCCGCAGCAGGAGCAGCAGCTGCCGGAGGCGGGCCGGGCGAAGTCGGCACAAAGTTTGGAGGCGCCGCCGGGGAAGGGGGGAAGGGGCCGCCGCTGCCGTTTTGGTGCTGCTTTGTCCGCGCAGCCAGCGAGCCAGGCGGGAGGGAGGCCTCCTCCTCCTCCTCCACCTCGTCTTCTTTCTCGGCCGGGCCGGGCCGGGGGAAGGAGCCATGTCGTCCATCCTGCCCTTCACGCCGCCGATCGTCAAGCGCCTGCTGGGCTGGAAGAAGGGCGAGCAGAACGGGCAGGAGGAGAAGTGGTGCGAGAAGGCCGTCAAGAGCCTGGTCAAGAAGCTGAAGAAGAGCGGGCAGCTCGACGAGCTCGAGAAGGCCATCACCACCCAGAGCGCCGCCACCAAGTGCATCACCATCCCCAGGTCGGGCGGGGACCG